ACAGACAGACAGACAGACAGACAGACAGACAGACAGACAGACAGACAGACAGACAGACAGACAGACAGACAGACAAAATCAGGCATGTACAATAAATTTTAAAATTTGAAGAGCTGACCCATGCCCGCTGATACCGCACTGGTGGAGAGACAAAGTGATACTCATCAGACAAGAATGTGAACAAAACATGTACAGTATTATTATTATATATGTCTTACGCCCCCAACAACACAATTTAGATCATTAAAGAGGCGGGCATAAAAGACACATGACATACAATTAGAAAAAACTTTTCAGCCATTGAATAATCCTGTGAGTTTCAGCTTATCGTAAAGAAAATGGGTGTAAACCAAAATGTATTATCTCAAGGTCCCGATAATATATGATTTACAGTAGCCTCCTGTTTTTGGTTTTGTTTTGGGTTTGTCTGAGTTGGGGTTTTTTCAAGATTTTTTTTTTTCTTGAGAAATGAAAAGAAGATAAGCGCATCTATGAATAATCCGGAAGGCCAGCTGTGAGGGACAAAAACCCAACTTAAGACAGAGAGAACGAACAAAATACCTTCCCTTCGTGGGAATCGAACCCACGTCCTCCACACCAATCATTGTATGATCACAATATTAATAATGATATATAAATAATAATAACAATAATAATAACAATAATAATAATCATCATCATCATCGTAATTTATATCGCAAATCCAAGCTCAACGGCATGCTCTATACACACAACTCAAAAATCTCATTTCACCACAAAGTATTTTCAGATGAGGTAAACAAACACCAAAAAGAAGTAGAAAGAGCAGACCACCTCAAAGCACCCCGGCCATCTGTCCAAGACAATGACACGTACAATCGACCCCTTTACACTTCCCTCTATCTTCTGTGTCTTTTTTTTCAAAAAGAATATGACAAAGACACTCTCCAAAAACATCCACCTGTCTAAGACAACCACTTTTCCCCCTCAACAATGAGTGGCTGTCTTGGACAGTGTCGTCAGTACCTGCACCAAACAGAGGATGCGGTGGTGGAGCGGTCAGTGCGCCCGTCTCCGAATTGTAAAGTCCGGATTCGAGCCTCGGTGCAGACACAGATTTTTTTCGCCCCCTCCTGCCCACCCTGCAGTAATGTGTACCTGACTTCGAGTTGGGGAAGTAAAGGCGGCGTGGAAAGGAACTGGCCACCCTACCACAATATGCCGAAGGCCCAGGAAGTTGTCTCACTAACAAGGCTATCCCCAGTGTCCAATCGGATACGGGAACAACAGACTTGTCGCTTTTAAGGACAAGCGGGCTAACCCAGATTTCGGGGGATTCCAGAAATCTTGACCTAGACCAAAAATGGGCATTGCCTTACTTATAAGAGAAGTTTGGTTTCATTGATGTGTATATTTGTTTGGTTAAAGAGTCCTTGTCTTTTAGAGAAACTGAACAAGGGGCAAAAACTTGACCTTCCTTTTTCTTAAAACAGCTTTTTTCAGGATGTGCTTCAAAGCGACCAACTTTACCTGCACCAAACAGACAGAACATGCCCAGGCACAAGAAACCACTCCACACCTTCAACACGCACGCATCACACAGCATGCATCACACTACACGCGCATCGCACATCACTTAGAGGGTGGTTGACAGGTGCTCTGATGTGGTTTGCTCCTTCTTTCCTATCCAAACATCTATCATCCTTATCTCTCCTCCTTCTATTCTTTGTACGTTACTCTCTAGAATCTTTGGCACTATGGTCGCTTTTAAGGACAAGGGGGAAAACCAAGACTTCGGGGGTTTCTTAACCTACACCAAAAGCGGGCATTGCCCTACCTATAGGAGAAGTTAGGTTTCAGTAGTATGTGTATTTGTTTGGTTATAGAGAAAACTCTCGTTGTCTTTTAAAGAAACTGAGCAAGGGTTCAAAAATTTACCTTCGGTTTTCTCAAAACAGCATTTTTCGGGACAGCCCCCTTGTGCTTAAAAGCGACCATATATGACCAGTGTGCGTTGAAAGTGCTGTAACTCTTACTAAGACTAAAAACCGGAATGAAGTAGAAACAGCAGACCACACCACAGCAGACGTACCAAGGAGACAGTGCAGAGCATGCTCAGACACAAGAAACCAGTCCACACCCTCAAGACGCGCTCATCGCACAACACGCATCGCACAGCACGCATCGCACAGCACGCATCACACGGCACAGCAAAGGTGGCACAGCAGAGGTGGCACAGAGAACATGCATAATACATGGCAGGGCAATCTCATCCCTGTGTGTTTTTGTAACTAATGTAAACAACACACCTGTAACTAGGGGCGGAAACATATGGAGGAAGGGACACACCTACTTCTGTGGGGTTTGTTTTAAAGCGCTGCTTCATTATTTTTGTTGTTGTTGTTGTTGTTGTTTTAAATAGACCATTTCAGTCTTTCATTAGCACATTAGCACAAACACAGACGTGCTTTCTCTCTCTCTCTCTCTCTCTCTCTCTCTCTCTCTCTCTCTCTCTCTCTCTCTCTCTCTCTCTCTCTCTCTCTCTCCCTCTATCCATCTACTCACCATCAGTTTCACCAGCGTAACGTTCACCCCAACACTGAGCTGTGCGGACACATTCTTGCTCAAACACACCACCGTACCCTCCATGGCGGGGCACCCTCCAGCCGCCCACTGTTTCTGCTACTGCTGATTCTGCAGCTGTTGCTGCTTCTGCTGTTGATGGTGCTGCTACTCCGCGTGCAAGGAAATCACACCCGCCGAACGCTCCTCACGGAAAGATCACAAGCACGTGAGCAAGCACGCACACGCAGTGTCCCAAGTCTTCGGCACTTTCAGTGTTTCTAATATAATAATTTTGTCTATTTCTGCAGTCGAACTTGCTCTAACAGCCACCTGTATAAGACAATCAGCCGTATAAACAGCCAGTCTCCATCTCCACAAACTCTTACAAAGACACTGTAGACGTCATCCACCAGTCCTACACATCCACTTTTCTCCTCCCTCCTCGGCAAAAAGGCGGACTTTCGACTGTATACATCCACGTACGATGACTTATCTCCCCGAGTTGTCCTTTAGCTTTGCCTCTCGCAAGAGCTACTTACTAGATTACCTCGCCCCTGCTCTCTCCCATCATCGGAATCTCACAACTTCTTTTTTAAAGAAACTTTTACGGCATTTGAAACACAAATAGGTCATATATAAGTGTCGAAGTTTGGAGGTGTTATTTAAAAGCAACGTACAAAGAAAAGAAGGATGAGAGATCATACATATAGTGGAAGCAAGTAGCAGGACAAATAGAAAGAAAAAAAACAGAGGTAAAGAAAACTGGTAGGGCCTACCAGTAACGCTCCCCAATAACCAACGAGGCGAGAGATAAGGACGACAGATTCTGTCTGATAGGAAAGAAAGCGCGACCCACACCAGAGCACCCGCCAACCACCCACAACGAGACACAGATAGGGATGACAGATTCTGTTTGATAGGACAGAAGGAACGACCCACACCACAGCACCCGCCAACCACCCACAATGCGGCGAGAGATAGTTTTCGTTTTAGTAAAGGTTTTACGGCGCTCGCAACTGCATAAGGTCATATTATGAGCGCCAGAAGATTAGAGGTGTTACAAGAGAGTAACAAACATAAAAAGAAGGGGAGATAAGGACAATAGATGTTTCATAGAAAAAAAGAAGCAAACCACACCAGAGCACCCGCCAACCACCCACGAGGCGAGAAATAGGGACAACAGAATCTGTTTGATAGGAAAGAAGGCGTGACCCACACCAGAGCACCCGCCAACCACCCACTAGATCTACATGTACACAGTTCCCAACTAGGGCACTGAGGTGTTGAATTATTGAACACACACCCAAGGACAGCGGGAGGGAGAGAGAGAGATAGAGAGAGGGGGGAGGGAGAGGGAGAGACACAGAGAGATAGAGAGAG